GCTATCTGGTTGCTTTTAAACATGTTTTAATATTCTGTATAAAATTCGTGTGCTTTTGAAAAATAATTAGTAAGAGGATCATAATCACAGTTAGGGGATCATAAACTGTTATCATAATAATGATAGCAGATTAGGTTATTCGTCTAGGATCTATTTATTTATTAGCACCTTGGAAGCTATCTGGTTGCTTTTAAACATGTTTTAATATTCTGTATAAAATTCGTGTGCTTTTGAAAAATAATTAGTAAGAGGATCATAATCACAGTTAGGGGATCATAAACTGTTATCATAATAATGATAGCAGATTAGGTTATTCGTCTAGGATCTATTTATTTATTAGCACCTTGGAAGCTATCTGGTTGCTTTTAAACATGTTTTAATATTCTGTATAAAATTCGTGTGCTTTTGAAAAATAATTAGTAAGAGGATCATAATCACAGTTAGGGGATCATAAACTGTTATCATAATAATGATAGCAGATTAGGTTATTCGTCTAGGATCTATTTATTTATTAGCACCTTGGAAGCTATCTGGTTGCTTTTAAACATGTTTTAATATTCTGTATAAAATTCGTGTGCTTTTGAAAAATAATTAGTAAGAGGATCATAATCACAGTTAGGGGATCATAAACTGTTATCATAATAATGATAGCAGATTAGGTTATTCGTCTAGGATCTATTTATTTATTAGCACCTTGGAAGCTATCTGGTTGCTTTTAAACATGTTTTAATATTCTGTATAAAATTCGTGTGCTTTTGAAAAATAATTAGTAAGAGGATCATAATCACAGTTAGGAGATCATAAACTGTTATCATAATAATAATAGCAGATTAGTTTATTAGTCTAGGATCTATTTGTCTATTAGCACTTTGGAGGCTATCTGGTTGCTTTTTATTTAAACATGTTTCAATATTCTGTATAAAATTCGTGTGCTTTTGAAAAATAATTAGTAAAACACTGATCTAGACAGTTGTAACATTATTACGGTAAATATTTTATTTAAAATAATAGATTTTAATAATATTTGCCAATAAAAGATTGGGTAGAATTTATGATATTCCAAGATAGTTTAGTGGAAACTTACCGAGTAGTATCTTTCCATTTGGAGGGATGAAACCTTTGTATGTTCTTGGTTTGAACAACCTGAAAAATTCAAAGAGAACTTCGACGTTTCTAGTGAAGTTCTTTTGGTATTTTTCAGATAGTTGCATCTTTATCAACCAAAGCTTTGTAATTATCGGCACTATACCTGCATTGGTACAGACCATTTAAGTTAGAGGAACGTCAATAACAGAATATCATTAAAGCGGTACTGTCATTAAAATTTTTATTTTCTTAAACGAAAATACTCTTAAAACTGTATAGTAACTTATTTTGAAGATGTTTGTTCCCCATCCTTAGTTCTTGAGATACAGATACTAGTTTTATTTGTAACCGTGTGACGTCATTTACTAAATTACATATGTAATGTGTTGTGTATCTTTGCTATTTTTTATCAAAATCTTTCCAAAGATGCGGCGATTTGTTAATTTAATTACATACATCATTAAGCATACTGTTTTGTAACCAAATCCGTCAAGAATAGCAAAGACACACAACATTTACTGATATTCCATTATATATTTTATATGGAATTGAGTAAATGACGTCACATGGTTTTAAACAAAATGAAATATCTCAAGAACAAACCATGGGAACCAATTTTTCAAAAGAAGAGTTCTTTATTTTGGGACAATGAAAATTTTAATGCCGGACAGTGCCACTGTAATTATTAAACAAATTTGAAATAAAAGTTTGCATGATAAGTGTTGCAAACTATGTTTTAACTTAAATATTATAATACTTGATAGTGTTGGGAAAGCATTATAAGCCGACCGATATGTCTTTGGGGAGGTGAAGTTGTGAACTCCAAAGTTAAGTCCCCTTCCTTTTGTCCGCCCCCCCCCCCTGAACCAAAGTTGCGCGCCTGCCAATTCTCATGCACTCTCAACCTCGTTTGATCAGGATTTTTGATAAATCTCAAAGATCGATATTGGACATATTGATTGGAAACCACCGAACGCAAATTGACTTTTATCTCTCATATATATTACTCAAAGTATGAGACATTGTCATTATAATAGTGTTTGTTCGCTTAGTAATTCTGCCGATTTATATTTGCATAAGTCGTTCATGCATACACTATATAGATAATTATGTGTACCTTTATTGTTTTAATGTGTTTTGACGATCGCAACATAAACTTTACTCTTGAGTGGAAGTAAATTTAGCCTTTAATCATTCAATCGTTGACGTTTACCTGGCTGATAAAAGAACAGTCCAAAAGTCTTTCTTAGTTATCGAAAGCATATCGATTATCTAAGAATCCATCAGTTTTTAAACGGTTGAAGTCATTTATATTTGCTAATCAGTAACAAACGTATTGCAACCAATATAGGCAGGTGATTTGGATAAAACATACAGCACATATTTATTTACGAAGAAGTTGGGTAATCGGGGAATCGAAGAACATCATTTGTTAAATTCTTAAAATTGAAGTTTAAAGAACGTAAAGTCGAGATGAATAATACAAGCGCTAATGGCACAATTGTCTTGTTTGACTTATACTCAAGTACGGCTGAGATTATCGGTTATTCGTTTGCTTACGGGATTCTTAGCTTAATTGCCTTGGTTGGTGAGTATTCTTTCAATATATTTGAAATCCTTGATATTTTTATAATTATACAGAATGTCACAAAATAGTATTTTGTGATTTACATACATAGTTATCGCATGCAGGCAACCAGGTCAGTTTTCAACAATCGATTGTCCTGGCCCATATGTTTATCACATATATGACTCAATAGACCTCTAAGTGCTAAACAATTAAATAGTAGGCTACAAAACGACTTTCGCAACCTAAATCCGGCAAACATTCAATATATACAATGTTTCAGCGAAAGTATGTGAAGTGCACTATGGAATGCCAGCCCTTATGACTTATAGTTATATGACAAATTACTAAATATGATCGTTAGCAAATCAAGTGCCTTTGTATAGAAGCGCGATAATCAGCTTTTCGTTCTATTTAGAACTTATTTTCATTAATAATTTCTCATGAAACCACTGACACTGTCAAATTAAATGTGAGTTTCCACGATAAGGTGCTATTCGGCAAATAGCTGCCTGCTGCCATGTCCAATTCGTCTTCGACGTTTCGGGAATACATTAATGGTAATGACTTCTTGTCAAAGGGAAGTTGCCTTCCGAAGGCCTTCGGCGCTCAAAACGTCAGAAAAGAAGGGCTTATAATCTTTCTTGGGTAATTTAGACACAAAGCACGGCAGAAACATAATTATTGGTTAGGTATTTGGCTTTCAAAAAGTTCAGACGAAAGGTGGTTAAATAAGTAAAACGTTTTTAATCTGAAGATATCATCTTGTTTGCCGACCAACATGCGTTTGAGCATAAACACTGGTACATATATTGGAAATTGATGTCAATACTGTATTGATGATTAAAATATCTAAGGGCGAGTTCCGTTATCACTTCACTGCGTCCGGGGATCGTCCGGATAAGAAGGGGCATGTGAATAACCAGCTAAGGGACTCCGGAACGATGTGAAGGCAAGGGGTGCAGATTTTCGTGAAAGGGCACTTTTGAATTGATATCATACTAAGAGATGTTTGCAAAACATCGGGAGTTGAACTTCGCCTAATCATGTTTTCTATTTATTGGATGATAGGGGTGAGAAAGGGGTCCTCCGCTAGGCGATTGTGCTATTCTTGAAGCTCGATGACTGCATTTCTTGCATTTCTTGAAGCAAATTCGTAAAAGAATTGCACTAACATTTCTGACAATTCTCTATCTCGCCAAGGCAATTCTTCATATTGAAAGGGCGCCTTTGCCCCCCTTGCCCCTCCTGGTGAAGGGCAACGGGGGCGGCTGCCCCTCCTGCCCACCCCCCAGTTCCGGCGTCCCTGTGAATAACTATATGATATGATGCATGTGTATATATCAATGGCGGCAAGATAAATTTAGCATCAAACTATATTCACTAAAGTGACACAGAAGCAAACGCCAAAAATATCCATGTCAATATTAATACTGTATTGATAGTCAATACTGTATTGATGATTAAACTGATCTACCAAGGGCGAGTTCCGTTATCACTTCACTACGTCCGGGGATCGTCAGGATAAGAAGGGGCATGTGAATAACTATATATGATATGCATGATGCATGTCTATATATCAATGGCGGCAAGATAAACTTAGCATCAAACTATATTCACTAAAGTGACGCAGAAGCAAACGCCAAAAATATACAAAACTATTTAGACTTTTAAAAATATATCTCAAACGTAAGGGTCCAGTGTAGGTACAGTTTTCCACAATGATCTGCCATGTATGATAATTGTGTCCAAACTACCTGAAAAACAGAAAAAGATATCTCAAACGTGGTGTCCATTGTATAGGTAGTATTCTACAATAAGCTGCAGTGGTTTGTGTCTGAACTACCTGTAAAAGATATCTCAAACGTGATGGTCCAGTGTAGGTAGTATTCTACAATAAGCTGGCGTAGTTTGTTTCTGAACTACCTGAAAAAAATATCTCAAACGTGGTGGTCCAGTATAGGTAGTATTCTACAATAACTGAGTTGGCATGGTTTGTTTCTGAACTATACCTGAAAAAGATATCTCAAACGTGGTGGTTCAGTGTAGGTTGTATTTTACAATAAGCTAGCTGCCGTGGTTTGTGTCTGAACAACCTGAACAACTTGAAAAAGACATCTCAAACGTGTTGGCCCAGTCAGGTAGGTGGTATTCTACAATATGCTGGCGTGGTTTGTTTCTGAAATAGTATCTATAACGTGGTGGTCCAGCTAGTGTAAATTGTATTCTACAATAAGCTGTCTGTACTACTCGTGTGAACAGCAGAACCGCATTTTGCACATTAGAGCGTTCGGGGATTGAGACTGAGACTGATTGAGACCATTCGAGGACGCGTACGTAAATATTTCAATTCAGCTGGTTCCGTGTGAACACTTTTCGTCTCGTAATTAATCGGGTTCCGTGAGAACAGGACGGTTTCGAATTTGTATTAACATAGCAGTAAAATGTATAGAAATTTACGTTCAAAAATTCCAACCATATGCTTCTACCTCAGCCTAGTCCCAGTCGTTCTGAAGCAAGCGCGAGAAAAAAAGTGGATGTAGTACGAGACTGGGACCTAGGTGTGACGTCACCGCTCAAGGTGCTTCAGAACGCCTAGCAGATTTCAGTATTTTTAATATGGCGGAAAATTTATATATACAAGTAACCTTTTAATTATAAATACGACAATGTTCGTTCATCATGTACATGTTCGATGTCTACAAAACCAAATCAAACCGTATTAAAAATGTGCTCAACTAAAAAAAATTATATACAAATTTACGATACCGAGTTTGAGCAAAGGTTGATGTTATTTATGCACTCGCAAGTTGTGATCACACTAGACCATACTGGTATACACAACTACGCTTTCTACTTGACAAGTTTAAATTGCTGATGAGATTGGAAATATTTGCCTGACATGACGGTGTTGTCAAAACATTCTTAGTCGGAGACTCGGCATAATTTTCAAGCTTCTAGATAATATTTAATATGGCTATATATTTTAGTAAACACGAGTCATATTTAGCCCGTTATTCCATTCTGACCGTATGGCCGCGAAACGTAGCCTACTTCATTGTTCCGACAGCATTAGAGCAAAACTAATGACTTAATTATAAATGCAAAGGAAATTTCCATGTAAATGTACAAATGAGGTATGCTTGGTAACCAGGCCAGGGACCATTTTTTTGAAATCAGGGACCATTTTACCGAAATCTGCTAGGCTCTCTCGCTGAAGCGTTCCGCACAGCACACCCAGGCATAAAACTTTTAAGACTTATTTAAATATATCAAAGCAGCGAATAGAGAGAGAGCCTGGGACTAGGCTGCTTCTACCTATATCTACTATCTCCTTAAATATGTTGCAAACTTTAATTGTAATAATCAATATATAGACGCAATGTTTTCGACAAGACAAAACAAACTTATCGCTATTTGGTTCCTTTACAGGGAACATGATGGTGCTTCTGGTGGTATATATGAACAACTCAATGCGAACAACAATCAATGTCCTACTAGTGAACCTATCATTGTCTAATATCCTCTATATCATTCTCTCGGTGCCTGGTTTTCTCCAGCGCGACATATGTAACCAACGCGCTGGTTACTTGGTTTGCCCATGGCTAAAATAGGTCAAGGAATTACCATCGCTTCTGCTGGCGCGGTTGTCTTCACATTGATAGCAATTGCATTTGAAAGGTAGGAGTCACTTCACTCACTTTACCAGAGTAAGGACTTCATTTATAGTGGATAGCTCATATTCATTTCTTTACCTCTAAAACCACCTTGACTAAAACGTTTCTGGTTAACCCAGAAATAAAGTAATCTTTTATTAGAGACATCACGATTGATGTTTACGGTATGGTACTAACCGTAAACGGCAAACTTCGTGCTTTGAGGTAAACTGTTAGCTGTTCGAAGTTAGGACAATTTGTGCATTAAAATTGAAGCATCTAAACTAACTTAAGGTTACAGGACACCCTTTTTGGCGTTTTGCGGAAAATCGGTACTGCGCGCTCAATATCAGTCCGATTTTCATCAAATTTTCACCAAATGTTCGGCATGCAAAATATGGTAAAGTTGTAAAATTAACAAACAATAAGATAATGTAAGAATTATTCAGGAAAA